ATAGAGCAGGGCATGTTCTGATCAAATCCATTACAAAAACTTACTGCGAAAAAAGAATTTGACACTTTTGAAATGCCTAAAGTTACATAAGTTTTCAAAGGCCAGATGTAAAGATTTAAAAGCCAGATGCTATGAACAGACTTGCATGCACCCCATCTAGGTGCGGTCTTACAATTTTTGCAAGATCCCAAGACGAACTCGAGAGCTCGGAAAGTTCTCACAAACGGAGAGCCCCCAATACCGAGAGTCCTCAGCCGAGCAAAGATCGACCTGGTCGAGCCATTCGATCAGCAGCAAGAGTTACGCAGCGCTGCATCCAACTCCAGGACAAGTGATGACAATACAGCCCAGTCAGGTACCATGTGTCCCATAGGTGAAGACAAAATAGAACTTGAACGACATGTGGTAGATCTCGTTGCGGACAAACATGGTCCCAAAATGTTGGCACTTACCCCAGAAGAGAAAAGTTGGGTGATCAAAGTCCATCGCAACATGGGCCATCCTCATGCAGCCAAGCTCAAACAATTTTGTCAGCAACTCGGTTGTCCTTCACACATTCTTGAGGCACTTGAGGACCTTCGATGCTCCACCTGTTCGGAAATGAAAAGACCAGACCTTGCCAAACCAAGTGCTATTCATGAAGAGCTTGATTTTGGGGATGTCATCGGAATAGATGGAATAAAGTGGACCAATAGTGTGGGCAAACAATTTTTCTGTTATCATTTTGTGGACCAGGGGACGACCTTCCAGACAGCAGTTAGAACTGAGAGCCATGCCACAACAAATGCCATCCAAGCACTAGTCCAAGGATGGATCCGCTGGGCCGGTCCACCTGGGACCCTCGTGGTCGACGCAGGTACAGAATTCTGTACCGAAGGTTTCCATCAGTTCCTGCAAGAGCATGACATTCGACTCCGCATGATCGCACCCGAAGCCCACTGGCAGAACGCTAGAGTCGAACGACATGGGGGCATTCTTCAAGCAATACTAGACAAAATGGATAAAGAAAAAGCCATTTGCACCATGGAAGAGTTTGACACCGCATTGTCGTTTGCCACACAGACCAAAAATAAATGGTCCCGTCACAAGGGTTATCCACCAGAAATGTTAATCTTTGGGAGGATGAGCAAGGTCCCAGGCTCTATAACAAGTGACATGTCGAATGCTGCTCATGATTTGGCCCTTCAGAATACTGCCGACGGCATCAAATTTCGTACCAAGCTGGCCATCAGAGAAAGTGCTCGGAAAGCATTCTGCGAAGTGGATAACTCCCAGTCACTTCGGAGAGCGGAACATCAGCGTTTGTTTTAGGGTTTGTATGTACTAATCATCTTATATATAATATGGGTCTTCGCCCCGCGTGGTGCTTGTGCCCAGTTTGCCGTGAGCATCCCACGTCCAATGCGGACAGTGTATCACCCGGGTGATTGGATCATGGTGTGGCGAAAAGACAACAACTGGTTCGGGCCGTTGAAGATCATCCTTCAAGAGGACAAGAACGTCATTTGGGCAGTGCTAGGTAATAGACTCTTCCGAGTGGCCCCCGAACATGCCAGACCTTTGTCCGCAGTCGAAGAGGTCCAACACTGGAAACGAAACGACCACCAAGACATGCAAGTTACGTTAGACAATCTTCGATCCGGAAATACAAGGTTTGCAGACTTGTCCAACCCCGAAGTGACGATACCTCCACCAGTAGCAATAACCTCGAATCAAGAAGAAAGTATTGAACAACCAGATCAAGAACCAGGCGTCCCAAATCAGCTTGATGTATCCCAAACAAATTCCGAACAAGAATATACCCCTACAATTCCAGACAGACCGGAACATGAGAGTGCCCCGCCAGCACCTGAGAACATCCCCATTCCAGAAGATGGAGATGAGGATTTGTTTTGTGAAGCATTCAACTGCGACGGCGAAGGACAGGCCTGGAGATTCGAAGTGGACATTGAATCTAGGGATATTCAAATGTGGAGACAAGAACCTCAACCAGCAGAACTAGCATTCCTCGTATCCGCCTCGAAAAGACAGAAAACAGAAGTGAAGCTTTCCAACTTAACACCTGCCGAAAGAAGACTGTTTGATGAAGCCAAAGCCAAGGAAATTCAGAGCTGGTTAGATACACAAACGGTTTGTCGTATCTTACGCCACAAGATTCCCCAACAGAACATCTTACAGTGCCGGTGGATTTTGACCTGGAAGAATGCCGACGATAACACACATCTAAGTGCCGACAGCAAGAACGTGACCTCCCGAAAAGCCAAGGCACGCCTGGTAATCTTAGGATACCAGGACCCAGAACTGAGCAACCTTGAGCGGGACAGTCCCACATTGACCAAACTGTCCAGGAATCTATGGTTGCAAATGCGCGTGTCCAATCGCTGGGAGATCGGAAGTTTTGATATCAAAACGGCCTTCTTGAGAGGCCGTGCTGACTCTCGGGTGCTTGGACTCGAACCACCGGAAGAACTGCGAGCCAAGCTTGGCCTTCGACCGAATGAGGTGTGCCAACTGCTTAAAGGTGCATATGGTCTAGTCAATGCACCTCTATTGTGGTTCCGTGAGCTATCTAAGGCATTGATCAACCTCGGATTCCAGCCAGCACCTTTCGACCCTTGCAGCTTTATATTGTTTGATGAAAACAACAGGACAAGAGGTTTCATCGGTGTACATGTTGATGATGGTCTTTTTGCGGGGGATACTGTGTTCCATGGAAAAATCAATGAACTGGAAAACCTCTTTCCATTTGGAAGTCGCAAGAGACGCAATTTCGTATTTACTGGTCTCCAAATCAACCAATATGAAGATTACTCTATTCATGTTGACCAGACTCAATATGTTAAGGACATCAACCCAATCAACATCAGCAAAGACCGTAGAAAGTTGCTTGAAGAACCGATCAACGACCAAGAACGCCAAGACCTTCGAGGATTGATAGGTAGCCTGCAATACGCCGCAGTAAACACCAGACCCGACCTTGGCAGTAGACTCAGCTTCCTACAGGGAAAAATAAATAACGGACAAATTCAAGACCTCGTCGAAGGAAACAGGTTACTTCATGATGCCAAAGTCCATGCCGATGTTGTCTGTAAGTACCGAGTCATCCCGTTAGAGGACGTTCGATTCGTAGCCTTCTCTGATGCTTCCTTTGCATCTGAAAAGATTCAATCATCCCATCAAGGTCTAATGATCATGGCTGCCCATCAGGATATTGGTAAGAACAAAAGAAGTGTGGTCAATCCCCTCCTTTGGTCTTCAAAGAAAATCCAAAAAGTGGCAGTGAGCACCTTGTCGGCTGAAGCCATGGCTTTAGCCGGGGCCATGGACATCCTTGCATGGTGTCGACTGTACTGGGGGTGGCTTAGAGACCAAAGTTGCCAATGGAGGTTAGGTGACAAGACCTTGTCCTCACTCCCGCCAGCCTTCTCGGCATTTAAAGATGAACCAGACCTTGTTGATCCCAACCAATCCCTAAGTGAAAATCTGATGAAACTCAAGGAAATTGGAAGACTGGATTCCCTAGTGGCCACGGATTGTAAAAGCTTGTTTGATCTTGTCAGTCGTACAGCACCACCAGCTTGTCAGTTCAGGACACTTCTCCAGGCCAGACTGGTCAAAGAGCACCTGGCCACCGGTGTAATTGCACGCTGGGTCCCTTCAAGCGCTCAAGTGGCTGATAGTTTAACGAAAATTATGGATACCACCACTCTCCGGGAACTAATGCACATAGGCCGGTATCAGCTCAAAGACGAAGAAGAAATTCTTCGCCATAGATCAGACAAGAAAGCCAGACTCAAATGGATTCGCAGTCACGAACCAGCAGTCACGTCAGAGCTTGAATGAGGGAAAAGCCAAGACGTCCCCATTCGGCAATGAGCGAATGATGATGCGAAAGCCACCCAAGAAATTCACAGAGTTGCAAGTTTTTGTTTGTTTGTCGCTTTGCTTCAGAGAGCCAACGAGGATTGGCCAAATCTTGTACAATCTTGTTTGGGGCCAATAACGAGATTGGATTGCAAGAGCCTTGCAGAGCATGGGGAACTTATTCTGGAGAATAAAGCATTTTGCATAGGGGAAAGACTTGCAGCAATGTCAACATGCTCGACAAAATTTTAATAAAGGGAATGTCAATTTTGGCCTTGCAGTATGTCACATGTTGACCAAGATGCGTCGTTCGCCACCGCCACAGACTCAAGGGTGGGTGGGTGGCTGTCCGTTCGTGCGAGCCATAGGAAACGACCGTCGGAGCATCACAGGGCTGGTGTTGGAAAAGGGAGCGGTCGCTTAGGCTACGGTGGAAGGGAAGCAGGAGCTTCGACCATTTTGTGCAGGGCACCTTTGTTGAACAGGGATTTCAACCAGGAGAATTCATACACCTTTTTGCTTGTTCGCGAGAGTCCAATCACCGGCTGTCTCCCTACCAAGTCGAAGCCGGTGTGGTTTCGATAATAAATAATATATATATATATACACACTATATATGCACTACATACTGCGCGTATCTGCGCGTCAAACTCTACCAACAAAGCGTCGTGCCAACCTGGGAGCTCTCTTTCAGCTGAGCTGCCAGGAGTGCCAAAGTTCGTGGAGCACGCGCCATGTTGCTGACTTTGAGGTGCTGTGATGCCCTCGAGCTGCACGGCTTCACTTCATGTCTTCAACTGTCAGAGCCAACAGTTCAAAAAGGACAAATGACAAAATGACAAGTAAATGAGGTGCACAAAGCAAGGCTTTTGGGTTCCTTTCGAAGGGGGCCTTATTTAAAGGGTCATAACAATCCATCACGTTGGCAAAAAGCGCTCAGCAAGGAACCACCTCGGTCCGAAGTGGTCACGCCATTTTGGATCTGCGGTCCCAAGGCCGGGAAGCCGTTAAGCGACGCCCTCGACACGCTAAGCTACACCTTGGAAGCCACCCCGTATTTGGGAGAATCGCATTCGAACCGAACCACTCGTGATCCAAGCTCACAAATAGCCTTTCAGGCTGGAAGAATGACCCACCCCAGGGTTCATCGAATTTGTGGGATCAATTCTCTTCCATCTCTCTTGTGTGCTGCAAGGTGCTTCGTATTCTGTCCCATGGCCATGCTCTGCTGGAAGTTTCCCTCCTGCTTCATCAATGACCTGTTTGATTCGCTTCTTCACTTCTTTCACGTCTACATCATTGGAGAGCATGAGGCTCTCGTGAAAAACGTTGCATCCGAAGTGTGAGCATAAGCAGCGCATCTCAATGTCACAATCTTTGGGCATCTCCAGAATGCGGTCGAAATTCTTTGGCATTGCGTAGTCGATGATGAGGCCCTGCCGCCCTTTGCCCACTGTGATGGTCTGAATGGATGGCTGCACGGCAAATCTGAACAGCATCACCCTGGACTTCTCGAAGGCCTGTGTCAACAAAATTGATGTGGAACTACCGATTGACCAGGCAAGGAGGAAAACAAGCGCAGCAGTTCAGCAAAGAACCTTCAAAAAAGCGTGCGGGGATACTGATACTTATATAACAAAACCCCTTTACAGTTGTGGGTTTGTCAAGAGGCTGTTTGAGCCTATGCATCCATCCAAGCCAGAACGAAACATGCTGTTGTTTTTTGAAGGTAAGTTGCATCTTGGCACACATAGCATGAGATGTCTCCAGGATTCAATGCCAGCTGCCGCTGCAATCGCTCATCCAGTTGCTTCAGCTCCCCATTTCCAAACCTGAACAACCAATTCCTACAGAAACTTAACTGCATGATCTGTACGAGAACCGATGCCAAAGATCCTTTTGATTACCGCCCGACAACAAGCCGGCGCTTGCCAGCTACCTGAAGTTCGTGAACACGATTGTAACACGATAGATGGATTTAAATGGGGCTCAAGGGCGCTGGCAAGCTTTTAACCCGCTTGAAGCCAAGCCACTCGGTCATCTCCATGATGAGGTGGTGGTCGAACTTTCGCCCCTGCTCCATCAACGGCTTCGGCAAAGACTCTGGAATCGCCGAGTTCAAATACCACAAGAGCTTGTCCTCACATGTCACAAACTTGTGGCACAAAATTTGTCCCTCCAACTCAGTGCAACTCACTTCTTTCGCCCGTTTTTTTGTTGTTGGCTCTTAAAGGTATTTTTTGTCTCAGTTGTCTCATGGGGTGCCATGAAAGTCTCAATTCAGTGGGACAGCGAACCCTCTTGTCGCCCCCATCAAAAGGGCCAACACCTGGGCCAAGCGGCTGCAATGATATTGACGAAAGGCAGCGGTAAAGATTCAAACCTTGGCTGACAGGCACTTTGAAGTGGACCAAACAAAATCCAACAAACTGCACCGAAGAACGATCGTATTGTATTAGAAAGAATTTGTATATTGAAAATACAAAGGAGGTAAACAAAAAGAAGGTGTTTGGGTCCCTTTAATAAGGTACCCTTTAAAGGTGCCGACTTAAAGGGAACCACAAATCGCCTTTTCCTATCCTTTTCCATCTACATAAATTAGAAATAAACTGCCAACCAGGAGCTTCAGCTTGAAATTCCACAATGTGCCTAAATTCGACATGCCGACCATCTCGATCAGCTTGATGATGCCACGGCCTCCTTGGTCAACACAATCAAACTGCTCCCGGCCCATGTACTCGAACTGCTTGGGCAAGCAATTAGGTGAAGCGAGCCTCGGCAAAAGAGCATCTTGAGCTATCTTCGGCATCAGCCGAAAGCATGCCAAGGCCCAGTTGCAATCTGCGAACGGGCCGCCCCATGCCAAAACTTCTCAGAACAAACAGTGCGCTACAAAACGCACAACATCAAGGGATACCAAAGGCGCATTACCGCCGCTGAGAGGCGCCACCTTCTGCTTGATGTGGTTGGCGGTGGCAAAGTCTTTGCAGGACACCCACACCATCTTGCTCTCTTGAGGCATTGGGAAGGTGTCGTGTATAGTGGCCTCAGCATGCGAGGCTTACTTCTCAGAAAGAGCTTTGGGTCACTTATATAACCAGTAATTTGCTGGTGCGGAGTGTTTTTGTGGGCAATTGCCACCTGCATCCAAGCACTGCCTCTATAGCATTGGGCACAACAGGCAAAGACCCATGCTCGAACGACTGGCTCAAATCGTGCTACCTCCCTCTGTATCTGTTGAGCCTCTTTCAATTTGAAGTCTCGAAACTCAAAGAAATGATTGCAAATTTCCTTAGCTCTTCATGATTCATCTGAGCTGCTAATATGAAGACCTTGCCTTCAGATCGGTTGCAATCTTCACCAGTGAGATCTGCGTTGTATCGGGACACCTGCCCATCCAGCTTGGTCAGGTGCTGCGGGTACTTTGGCCACGACGCTGCTCGGGTGCATTTCGCATCCATGTCTTTGCTCGACAACGCCTGGGCATTGTCCTCAGTGCCGAAGAATGAAGAAACACACCTGGACCGGGTATTGGACCAATTTGGGCACATCTGTACCATTGTACCATACACACACAGCTATATATATATTACATGCGCAACATATGAATTTGAATTGCCAACCATTGCTTCTCAGATTGAACAATGTCTTCACGGGGACAGACCTGATGGCAAGCAACGAGGAATGCAACGACGTCCTCGTGCGCGTTGAGGCCCAAAGTGTTCACCTCGATTTGGTTGGCTGGAAGGCGCATCGACGTTGGCCTGTGTCAAAATCCCTGTCTGTCCGTGCCTGCATTGACATGCGGCCCAAGATTTCTTGCAAAACCTTCTAAGGACAAAATCATCAAGCTGCATCAAGCTGTCTTCAACCCTTGGCAATCCTCGATAGATATACTATACATTGCATGTATACAATGACCATTGACAGCTGAATTCCTGACAATGTGCCAGCTTGAGCTGCCCATTGGCATCCACACGGCAGTACAGCGCACGATTGGTAAAGGCCGGACCCTTGTGGATCTGAGTGCCACCGCTGCCAAAAGCCACACCAGCTGCTACCGAGGGGTTCAGGAAAATAGAGCCCAGTACACTGTGGGAGTCGCGGTTCAAAGGCTTCCTCAAGAAATGCGTTACACTACCAAACTCATCTGGCAAGTTCAATCCCACAAATCCACAGTATCTTTAAAAGCTCACACCAACAACCTGACAATTGAACCGACTCAAACCAAATTCATCCAAAAAGGACTTTGAAGATGCGCTGAACTCCAATATACAAAAATGAGGCACATCCACAATGTTGCAGTCATTACTTAACGAGACAAATACGCAGCCAGTCACCGCATCCCTCAAACTCATTCAAAGTGCAATGTCTCTTGCACGCTGAAGATGCCAGCCCCTGCAAAGCACAAGACCTGCTTCGCTTCGTCACCGATGGGCAAAATCTTTTGCAGCCGTTGCGTGCCTGGCTCCGCCAAAACCAACCCCTATGGTTGCTTCATTACTGTGCTGGCAGTTGGTCTTGGATATCAGCAGCTGGGGGCACAATAGGATCGCAGTGTTGAACATCGGTGATATGATATGCTTGTAGGATCTTGTAGGTGACTATGGATGTTTCAATCTTTCGCGCTCTCTCTCTCTCTCTCTCTCCCCCTCTCTCTATCTGCATAGTCTAGCTGTCACCCATGTCATGTGTTAGAGGCAAACAGACTGCGTATCCGAGGGTCTAATCACCACCATGGGCCGATCACACGGTCGTGGGACTGAGCCACCAGTGATGCCTGTCTTGGCACCTGACAGGTGCGCGCTGTATCACTGTATCACCCTTTAACGGCAAAAGAATTGCAAAAAGCGCCCGCTAGCAATAGTCACGAAGTTGGACAGTAACAACTTGGAATCGGAAGTGGGTTGATTCCAGCAATCATGTGGAGAAGTCTTACCCAAGAGGCAATATCAATATCATTCAACCCATCTTAGATGTTCCAGACCATGCGTGCAAAGGCAAAGGGGGTCAGGCGCGCCTTGTGGAAGAATCGCCACCTCCGCATTGAGACAAGCTTCTAAAACCTTCATCGTCTCTTGAAGGGTTCCAGGACGGACTACCACCATGGCATGGCCTTTCCCTACCATAGTGCCGGTCTCCTCTGCACGAGTGCGCTGAGTGATATATACTGATGTGGCGACACCCTCGAATCGAGAACCTATCTTAATCTGCATGTCATGGTCGACAAGTTGTCCACGCGACTTTGTCCTCACTGTTGCTACTGCCCCTACTTCCTTCTTTAGATAGTTTTGCAGATTCAGCCCTGGAAAACGTACAGTCATAGTCTTAGAGATGTCATCTCAAGCATCTTCCCCCACATGGCAGATCTCCGTAACGTTCTCTACCACGTGCTGCTTCCCTACCTTGGCCGTAAGCAGACTCCAGGAGGCAAGATAATCAGAATAAGGTCGTGAGTTTAGTTCCACAGGTCTTTCGATTGTGATTGCCAAGTCGCAATACCCCTGAGCTCATTTGGCAGTGCTTGCTGCTTTGGGGTGATCATTTCCTGCCGTGACAGAGCTCGTCACCACAGCTGCATCCCAAAGCTTCCCCTCCCCCCCACGCTTCGCCGCGGCTCGGCCGTCCCGGCCTCACAACAAACTCGAAACCCTGCACCCGGGAGCTGCCGCTCTCGCAGTTGGCCATCCATGCGCGACAGTAAGTAGCCTGCCCCGCAACCCACCAGGCCAGCACCACAAACGGCACGGAGGCTAAAGCTCCTCTGGCAGGCAGTGCGTCAATAGAGCCAAGCAACTACGCCGCTTGAAGTTTGGAAGGTGTTTTTACAGTCTCGAAAGGCCAAAGGCACACTAACGCACCTTTTCTCAGCTCGAACAAGAAATGCCTCCATATTGGGCATACATGGTATTCACATCACTTCACAGACTCCCCCTCCGCCACTCTGGCGGATTGCATGGACATGGAGAAAAGTCCAAAACACAGGGCTCAAGGCATTCAAGTTCTCTTAGAGCTTTTAGCTCTATAGTATTCGGCTCGCATCTTTTCAGCCGACCATCCTTTGCCAGCATTGTCATGCTGGAAGCGGTTCCAAGGATTCGTAGGAACCGGCTCACTCCTCTGGCTTCTCTGATGGCTCGCCTGCGCGTTCGCCACCAGGTTCATCGGAGTGCTCGGCTGTGCCACCACTTGGTGCAGCCTTGCAGAAGCTGCTATCGCTTGCTCAGCGACTTGCCCAGCCATCATGGCTTGTTCCGCGGCCTGCTCCGCGGCTTGAGCTGCCAGCTCTGCACTTTCGGCCGCCTTCTCAGCTCCTTCGGCCGCTGCACAAGCTGCTTGAAGAGCTCGTTCACTTGAAACACTCAGTGAACTAGAGCCCTCGCAGCTCCCCTTCTTTTCCAGCGATCGTGCCATAGAACTCCGCCGTCTCATAGTCCCCTTTTCTTTTTCGACCCTCAAATCGTCATCACGACCCGGGCCCTCTACCAGCATGGCTTCGGCTGCATCGAAAGAACACCCATCAGCCTCTTCTTCAGTTGCTGACTCACTTTCCGCAGCCTTCCTCATTCTGGTAGTAGAGCTCCGCATTCTTGGTCGCATCAAACGCGAGGATGTAGTCAGGATCCTTTCTTCAGCCCCGGGTTCATCGTCTAAGCCAGGCACCTCGCTAGACAGTACTTGCAATCGACGAAGGCAGCAACGCACTGAAGTGCAGGCCGTCTTCACTACACAGATTGCCCCAATCACCACCAGCATTAGGCCACAAAGCCATAGACGTCCAAAGGCTGTATCCATATCTTGCTCCCCTTGCGCTTCAGCGGCTTGAACTAACAATCCACCCACCAGCAGCATCCGTAGAGCTACTTGATGGTCTTGTGCTTGAGGCGGCAAACTGCCACCAACCAGGCTCTTCACCTGGGGCCCACTTTTCATGCCCAGGTCTCGCTGAAAGCCTTCAAAACTTTGCCCCATCAGCGGCTTTGTCATGCCGTCCGCCACCAACTCAGTCCCCTTGAGGTGGTTGAGCTTCCATGCACCGCCGGGAAAGGACGGCTGTCCTTCGATAGCTTCCCGAAGGATGTTTGAACGGACTCTCAAATGCCTCGTCCGCCACGAACTGCTGCTGTTCCCATGAGCAAGGCCAATTGCCGCAGCATGGTCCCCATAGATCACTCGCTCAAAGGAGTTTGCCGTCAGCTGCTCCCCCCACATAGCACATAGGAGTGCCTCCGTCGCTCTTCCTGCCATCAAAGCCTCACAGTACGAAACCAACTCGGCTTCTGCAGTGCTGTGGCAAACGAAAGGTTGGGTGGAGCTCTGCCATGCAATTGGGGCACCAGCAAAACATAGCACTAAGCCTTGGATGCTTTTGTAGCCACTACCAGTGCCGTACGCGATGTCCGCGAATACTTCCAGTAGGCGTTCATGCCGTTGGACTTTCAATTGATCTCTGGCTCCCCACTTGTTCTGGATGTTCTTGGAATAGTGGAGGCCACCGGGATTGCCCTTCACATAGGCCAACAGTCCATACCCAAATTCGATCGCCTTGGCCGGGTTCCGAGTGACCAGTCTGCTGATCGCTGCAACACCGAAGGCAAGATCCGGCCTCGACCTTGTGGATAACCATAACAGGGAGCCAGCCATGGCCTGTGCTTCACGGACTTGATTCCTGTCGATGTCGGGCTGCTGCTCACCATCAGCCTCACTGACCTTGAAGTTGGGGAAGGTTGTGGAAGTATTGACATTCCACCTGGTTAGCAGCTCCTGCTCATACTTGTTTTGAGCAATGTGGAAACCATCTCCCCCTTCATCTGGAGAAATCTCAAAGCCACAGAAGTGGACCGCTGAAGTAGGTGAGGCCCACTCAATGTTTGACGTGGTCCATGTGGACTGCAGAGAACTTAGGGCGGCGTTCACCGTAGCTTCTTCACCCGGAACTAAGATGTCATCCACATAGACGGACATCAACCCAGTCCAGTGCGTCACACCAGAATCAATGTCAACCTCCTCAATCCTCCACAGGTTCTCATCCTCCGTCTTGATGAAGTGACCTCTGACTCTCTTGGCCTGATTATTTTCCATCCTCACCCTAACCCAACTGATAACCGGCAGGGTGGGGTCTCTGTATTGGGACCAGTCCCGTGGAGACGTAGTGAGCCCGTACATAGCCAGACGCACCAACCACACTTCACCCTCCTTGGCCAGACCCATGCGACGATAGACAGCAGGGATCTCCATCGCGACCAATTTGCCATCTTCGCGACGAGGGGCATTCAGGAAAGCAACGCGGATGTCAGTGGCTGCTATTTGCCAATCCTTGAGAGCCGCGGTCCTCACCAACGCCCTCACCTGACATCCATCAGCTCCTCCAGCGTAGCAGTCTCCGTCAAACCTGGTCTCAGAGTAGTTGCCACAGCACACGGCGCGAGCTCGCCGAGTACCGGTCCCAGCTTTTCGGGTGTACACCATCTTGGCCAGGAGCAGCTCTATTGTCTTTCCCTCCTCAGCTGCACGGGCTCTCAGGGCCTCCTTTGTGATCTGCTCTACAGCCTGCTTCGTTGTGACCAATTGTCCGTGCTCTGCCGAGATGGCCGCAGCCCCATTCTCAAAGTCATCCGTGACTTCCTTTGTGCTCACCGTCCTGGTTACCAGGAACTCCTCTTCCATCTCCTTTTGATCGATCATCCGATCCTCATGGTCTGCTCTGAGGAGAGTTTCTTCTACTTCAAGCTTTTGCATGATCGCTTCCGTGAGGACCTCCATATAGCAGCCTTGATCTTGGTTGGTCACATCGACCAGTTGCATCTCCTCCCCGATGTACTGCGCCAAGTTCTCCTGAATTCGTCGAAGGATTCGAATCTTAGCTTGGGGAGCCTTCCCAACAGCCCTTTGCCTTTGTGGGGCCACCAGGCGTGAGCCACCGTCCTGGTTGTTAGGCGCCCCCTCCCACCCCCCTCCTCCATGCCAGTCCACCTCCTTCAAACCCTCATCATTTTGGGTCTGTTGGGAGGCTTCCCGATTCCCCTTCACTGGAACTGGACGAGGTTCGTTCAGGTGTTTCAATAGTCCAGCTGTCGATCAGCCGCCGGGACCACCACATCATCCGTGTAGAAGAACTTCTTGGTCTCCAAGGACTGCACATAGTAGTTTGTGGTGGTCATAGACGACTGCAAAGCGGGACCTAGCACCACCACTTCATCACGTAACTCTCGCCATGGCTGATATCGATCTTGCCATGACTTCTTGAGGGCATATGCCCGGGCACCAAATTGCAACAAGGGGCCCACTGGAAAACCCATCCTTCTAAGTTGGCTACGAAGGCGACGTTCCCCAACATGAATCGCGGCAAGCGGCCACATCTCCAGACCAAGGCCTGTGGCTGTGAGGATGGTACGGACATGCTTTTTCACAACCCCCAGTTCACCTTCAACACGACCATTGGACTTGTAGCTGCCACCAGATGTCAAAGTCGTAGTGATGCCACGATCCAGCGTCCATCGACGCACTGGTGCTGAGATCAGTTCTCTAGCTCGATCGCAATGAATGCGATATAACGGAAGACCCAAGCTTCTCAGCTTGGCATAGATCCTTGCCAAAGCCGGCAAAATGTGGTGAACAGCACGGCCAGACAAGGTCTCCACAAACGTGAGGTTGCGGACCATCACATCTTGTTTTTCCTCCACCTTCGCCCGCCATGCTTCCAGAGCTTCACGACCTTTTCGTGCTGCTCCTTCATCCTCCTCCGGAGCCTCATATGGTTCTTCACCCATCATCTCCTCCCCTGGGTCTTCGCCACCTGGTTCGGAAGGTGTATATTCTTCCATGTCGATGGATGGCACAGGAGGTACCGCTTCAGCCGAGGAACCCACCCCAGTTTTGCTACCCGTGTTCACATCTGCCAACGCACGACCTGAACTATCCACCGGAAAGGTGTAGACTGCCACCATCATGTACTTACAGTCCTGACGATGTTGATCCTGCCCAACCACCATTTTACCGGAGAGGTCCACACTCAACGTAAAGGCCTCCGGGTGGCTGATCCTCTTGTGCGGCTTGCTTCGAGCTGCAGCTTGTACACACTGTTTGCAGTCTCTTCGCGCAGGCATGTGGTCGTGCAAGTAGTGTTGTCTCCAGCTGTCCAGGGCTGTTGCATTTAACGGGCGGAGCGCTGCTTCTTGAGATGGATTGATGCCACGTTTCAAACGGTCTTGTAGGGCCAGCACCAAAGCCACCTTGAGACCAGGAGCCCATGCAGCCCACTGCTTGGAGTCATTGCACCTCTCTTGCATCGTCATCTCACGGCGATCTTGAGGTAGGCCTTCAGGAGCGATGCCACGAGGTGGTCCACGGAGCTCATTCAACACCTGAATGTCTCGGAGACCAGCCACCGCCAAAGTAGTTGGCTTCTTCTTTGAATGACCCATCGGACCTTGGTCAAAATGAAGCAACTGGACCTCATAGATCCTGGCAAATGCTTGCCACTCATCAGTACGCCAGACCGACATGAACTGCTTCTCCTGCACTTCAACCTCCGGTCTATACCTTGCTGGGTCTTCAGGCTGTTCGACGGCCAATGCTGTTTGAGGTTCATTTGGAAGACGGACCTCTTCACATAAGATGTACAGTGCCAGCATCCTGAACCATAAAACACTGTCGCCCACCACCAACTCCAAATCCGACGAAGACAGAGATGGCACACCATAGGGAAACTGCTCTGTTCTCAAGATGCCTGGCCCCCCATCATCCTGATACCGAAGGGCCGAAACTGTTCGACATGGTGGACCTCCCACCACAGCCTTGACACGGCCTGATGCCGCCAGTGCAAGCAGGTACATGAAGACATAGTTGTCATGCAAGTCCGCGGGAGTGTCCGCTTGAAGGTCAACACATAGAACCTCCACACCATCCTGCTGCAGAGTCCTCTCCCAGTATTTGGTGTCTGGACCTGAGAACAGATGCACCGCAATCTGCCTGGCACGTTCCAGCCTCCTTCGCCTTCTCCGGTTCCAAGGAAGCAGATGACCATCAAATCCTTGGGACAACTGAGCCATGTCCGGAACGACCTTCATCAAGATATCGTCCGGTAACAAGGGAAACATTGACTTCAGCTTCACCGTCAATGCGAGCTCCGTTGAATCACCCAGCGAGCTCAACTCCCCCGGCTCAGGATTCTCCAGCAACGTCTTCACCATCAGGGCTTTCTTGACGAGGCGAACTTGGCGTTGCTCAAGCCGATCAATCATCTCACTACCCAAAGCACGGGAGACCATAGGGCATCCATGCTGGAGCGTCACCATAAGCTCCTGACCTTTCTCATCCCGAAGTCCACACTGAACTCCCTTCCACTCGACCTTGCAGCCGAGCTCAGCAATACCACCCATAGGGACGATCCACGACTGGCCCAAAACCGCATCACTGGGATCGGAAAGGAGCACTTTTGAAGAAGACTTCAATCTCAACTTGGACGTGACCCCGTCCGCCAACGTGACCTGTGTAGGGGTAGCTTCTTGCCATTCTTCCAAATCTTTTGCAGGTCGTAGGGCATGAGTTGCACCTGAATCAAGCAAAACCAGATCACCAGCATCATGCTCCAACTGGCTGATCTTGATCACACGCACCTGTGGCACTCGGAGGGACTTCAAAAGCTTGGTCGCTTCCTGAAGAAGGGTCTCACTTGTTGTTGATGTAGCCCCAGTTTCACCTCCCTTCGATGCCTCATTGGACTGCACCTCCCCCACCTTACCCTCAGACATACTGACCTCCATCTCCTGGATCTTGATGGGAGCCGTAGTAGAAGCAGTGGGAGCATAAGCAGTTGACGACGACGATTTTGAAGAGCCTTTTGCGCCATTTCCTCCCCCTGAGCCCAGACCGGGCTCATTTGTGTGGTTGCCCTCCTTGGTGTCCTTAACAGGAGATGGCTTCTGCTGAGACTTCAGCTTACATTCCGTTTTGCCATGATCCTTGCCACCGCAAATCCAGCATCGAGAATTCTTGTCTTCAATGCCTTCCCACGAATGGGACCATTTGCAAGCCTTGCCGGCTTTACACCCAGCTTCTGACCTGAAGTATCTGCAAGGCGTGGAAGCCATTGAACCACCCTTGCCTTTGTCCCCAGCTTGCATGCCCTGGGATGGCGTTGACTTTGTTGGAGCCTCCATCTGCTTCACCTTGATTGCGGATGGAACAGACGTTGGAGTAGTGCTCATCAATGACAGAGTCTCCACTTCCGCCAGCAAACATTGACTAAACCGCCAGATGCCCGCGTGGAGAGGTTGATGATCGATCCCCAGCTGGAGTCGACTTTGTGCCAATCTGAACGAAGCCTGAGCGTCCATCGACGCAATTTGAGCCACAGCCGGCTCCAATGCTTTCAGCAGCAACGTGCTGTCAGGTAGAATGGCACCAATCTCCTGAGCCCGAGAAAAATGCCTCCTCCATAACCTCAAAGCTGCTGCCAACTCCGTGACCCCTGTGGCTTTGTCCATGGTGGTCAACTTAGAGAGGAGTATTGCTTTCTCTCCGGATCCTCCTGGTTGGTACCGAACCAACAACCTGAACAACAGTGCCGTCGAGGTGAGCTCACGTGCGGTGATCAAAGCTTGCTGTTGATCTGCTGGAATGGCCCGCAAGAGCAAATGCACACCTCGTTGTTCCGTCCTCTGATAGCGGCCATCAAGCAACTCATCAGGCAACCGTGGCGAGATCTGAACCCGCTCCAGTGGCGACGACGTCTTCCAGCGTTCATAGTAGCACTGAGCTTCACGTGTAGTGAGGTTCCACCACCTGGCGCTGACTGCAGAGATGTCCCGCAACACAGGACCACACACTGCCAACCAATCTCCCAGCTCCAAAGGTGAAGCATCCGCGGAGAGCTCTGCTAATTCCGCTTTGCTGTTTCCAGAACCTTCATTCCAGGGTAAAGGCATAGTGGGCGGTTGACCACCCTCATCCCGCCAGCAACCATAGCCACCGTTCCGGTTGTAGTCGGGTACAGCCCCGCTAGAACCCACGAAATCACTTGCCGGTTCAAACATTCTGTACGTAGTTGAAGGATGACATACACCATCAGGATTAGGGGGACATACTTTATCACGTTCATGATCACCCGGAGCACCCATGCTAACACCAGCATAGTCCCCACGATGACCATGGTCTACACCATGACCACCATTGCCAAACAGCTCTTGGAGGTCATGTCCCCGTAGGCCTACACTGCCCAAATCCTGCGGTGGTGGTGGATGGACATCCTGAGAGCATGCAGCCACGCGGCCAGGACCCTGCGAAGCCTCCTGCATCCGCTCCATGGAGATTCTCAGTGCCTCCACCTCCTTTTCAAGCCGAGTTGCGCGATCGTCCCGAGGCGATTCTCCTGCGGCTCGAAAGCCTTCCCTTCTCGCACGCCAAGTGGCAACCAGTGTTGATCGCCTCGTCGACGGCGAAGTTCATCCAAGATCTCATACCCCTGAAGCAAACTAATTTCAGCCGAGTTGCATGAGGTAGGAGGTCCAAAAGGTGGCAACGGCACTTCTGGCAATTCAGGTGGTTGCCCATCAGGAACTTGAGTGCCGTTGGGCGTATAGCGAACCGCTGGCCGCCCCGAAAGCACCCTTCTGGTAGTAGGACTTCTCCTCCGTGGCGTATGAAGACCATCAACTCGGTTCTTTGACGAAGGCCGTTTGTCATCCGCTGAAACCCCTCCAGCACGCGACCGATTGCCCATTTCTTCGTCCCCCGGTTGATGCGCACCCATTCCATCCGCAAACTCCCACGACGATGGTGCCGAAGGTGCCGACGACGAAGTCCCACCCGCCAGCTTCTTTTTCATTTCTTCTAGTTCCAGGCGCAGATGATCATTCTGCTCCCTAAGGAAAGTGACCATTTCCGCTTCCAAAGCCCGCTGCAAGTTCCCTTCCGACTCATGACCCCGCCTAGGCTTGGCTTGGACATGTTCAGGGGGCATAGGACCCATAGACTTGCACGGACCAGGAACAGGCTCACCAGCCATGTCCCCTGACGACATCCTGCCCTTCGATCTCTTTCCAGCGCCTTGCCCACCTCTTCCTTCAGGCGTCTGGTGGCTGGGTGGAGTGGCATAAACCCGCCCTCCTGTCGATAAGCCTCGACCCTTCCCTGTGCCACCAGTCATCCCGCCTTCCTCGAGGTCACCATCATCATGGGGCGCCGGGAGATCTTCGGGTCTATGGTGTTGCAACCAAACCTCCTGTTGCACCCTTTCAGACCAGAAAGGATTCACCGGACAGAGTGATCTTGCGCGATCCATGGCGCAGCTAAAACCGCTAGTTTGGGCTCATAACCCTCGAAAGGCCAAAGGCACACTAACGCACCTTTTCTCAGCTCGAACAAGAAATGCCTCCATATTGGGCATACATGGTATTCACATCACTTCACAGAACAGTAATTGAATTTACTGAGTATGTCTTGTTCGATGGTGGTGCCATCTTTTGCAAAACCAGGTCAACCCTTCAAGTTGCCGCACCATGGCAAATATCCAATTGTGGCTAGGTGCGCAATGCCTTCACCTTGACCATTTCATGCCAGTTCCCATTCTCAACATTCTGCCCCATCCTCTTGCCCGGCTTGCTAGAAACATGACGCGCCATCAGGCCCGGCTGCAAGTGGATCCGCCGCAACATGAGCATTGAGAGCGAATCACCACCCGGTCAGAAAATGTCAGAAATGGTTCAATTTTTTGTCCAATTTGTAGGCAACTGTTCTGAAGTGCAGATGTCTGCAAACCTAAAGGTTGCAAGACCTTTCCTGTTGTGGAAAGGGCTTGGGCATTGAGCGCAAGCTACCTATGCAGGTAGAGTGATGGTTGGTGCGTTTCTTTGTCAAAAGCTTTGCGAATTCATAGCGAATACCAACTGGACTCGATTGTATAATCTACTGAAAGGAGGCCTCTGCCATTCTTGCAATTTGTCCTCTGGGTTCTCCATGACAGTGCTACAATGGCTCTTGCCCCGTGACACTGTCGCTTCTTCGCGCTCGTGGTATTGAAGCGGGCTCGTGCGGAGACCCCAAAACCTGATATATATATATATACCTGAGAAAGGAGAGGACGAAAGCCAGAGAGAGACCAATATGGTAGTGCAAAACTGGGAGGAAAAACGAGCGGAACTTATTGTTGAATGCCTGTAGCTTTCGTGGGGCTTGTATCAACGTGGAGTAGATCAAGATCGGAGCACGGCATGAAGTGTTGAACGTCAGTGAAGACCAGGAGAAGGATGCCCGAAAGGTGGTTTTTGGTTGTTTTCAACTGTGTTTTGGGCATCGTGCATCAATGCGAAGCCCTATAAAGAGATATAAAGAGCAGGGCTGGGAGAAAAAAAAGAGGAGAGCACTCATTCTTGAATGGTTGTAGTTTTCGTGGAGCTGGTATCACTGCGACTGAGATCAAGATCGGAGCACAGCATGAAGTGTTGAATGTTTTTGGTATTCTTGATTTGCTTGGCGTGGCGCCTTCTGGAGCGTCCCTGTTTAGTGGTCTATTTGAGAATCCGTGTAAAAATAAACGTCAGTGAAGACCAGGAGAAGGATGCCCGAAAGGTGGTTTTTGGTTGTTTTCAACTGTGTTTCGGGCATCGTGCATCACTGCGAAGCCCTATAAAGAGATATAAAGAGCAGGGCTGGGAGAAAAAAGAGGAGAGCACTCATTCTTGAATGGTTGTAGTTTTCGTGGAGCTGGTATCACTGCGACTGAGATCAAGATCGGAGCACAGCATGAAGTGTTGAACGCTTGCAGCTTTCTTGCTTCTCCTCTTGCGGCGCTCTTATCCCCAAGCCTCTACCTCGCCCAACTGGACATATTCACATCGTTCGCTCCCAGAGCGTTCACTCTTTGTTGCTTGGTCCTTCTTGGTATGATCAGAGCTACACAGTCCCTATGCCCTGCTCAGGACTAGAAAAATTGTTTCCAGACCCCTTCATGATGCTAATGATGCACTACTCGGCGTCCATTGCATCACTCGCATCACCAGACATCATGTTCACTGCTTTTCTGACCCTCGCTTTGGAGCGCTCTCCCCCACCAAGCTCCGGGTTCACCCTCTCCGATGGTGCCTTTTTGCGCCCTCCCCCGCCCCCCACACCCCCTTAACTCACTCCGTTCGCTCTAAGAGCGCAAGCCTAGCCTATCGGCTGGCTTTCGTAATATATATATATATACCTAGGGCAAGCCACATTCAAAAGTACAAATGGATATTCTTATTAGATCTTATTAGATGACTCAAGATAATAAGTGCACCACCAATATGCACATACTGGGCGCTGCACATAGATGAAGGCTAAATGGAGGGTGTGTGGAGAAAGGAGGTCAGCAAAAATCACTTATACGAAGTTAGTGCATCAAAAATACCTTCTACGAAGTTCTGCGAAGGCTTCTGGGATTTCGTTGCAGTCAGTTCGCCTACTGGCCCACCATTCCACGAACTGTCCACGAACAGCCTTGGGTTCTACGAATGTCCCGCGCCTTCCACGATGTTAGTAGAATAGGCTTTTGCAAAACCCTTTCTGTGCACTACCCTTCCGTTTGCCTCTGAATAGAAACACTGCGAGCGGAAAGCGTGTCTGCGCATGTGGTTGCGCCGCTTGCGCCACCTGCGCCGCCTGCGCCACTTGCGCCGTTTGCGCCGCTTGCGCCGATTGCATCTTCTGCGCCGCCTGCGCCGTCTGCGCCGTCTGCGCTGTCTGCGCCACCTGCGCCGCTTGCGCCGCTGGCGCCGTTTGCGCCGCCTGCGCCGCTTGCGCCGTTTGCGCCGCCTGCACCGCCTGCGCCGCCTGCGCCGCCTGCGCCGTTTGCGCCGCTTGCGCCGCCTGCGCCACTTGCGCCACCTGCACTTTCTGCGCCGCTTGCGGTGCCTCTGACAGCCTTTCACACGTGACGCTCGGTGTGCGCTCGAGCGCCAGAGGACCAGCGCTGCGGGCGTGCGCTCGATCGTTGGACAGAACAACAACCTCCTCAAGGCTGACGCGTTGAAAAACGCAAGAAACTGGGGCGGAGGGATTGGGTCTCTGAGTTAGAGTACGAAGATGGCACATATACAATTGACAGCTGCAAGCAGCAGCCCAAGCTACTTCAACCTTTTCTACCGGCACGCTGGTCTACCGGTGAGAACGGTGTAAACCTTGCGCTTAAGCAGTCAATCCCACGTACCGACCAAGACCTTTCAGGTCACAGCGTTAGTGTTCCTGATTCGAAAATGAAAATGTCCGTTGGGAGCGCGAAAAGTCGAAAAGTCGAAAGCTCAAAAAATTGATTTTGGCTTTCGGACACATTCGAAAAGGAAAAGAAAAACATCCGAAAAGTTGAAAAGTTCATTTTGTCTCGGGCCCAATCGAAAAGTCACAAATTCCGAAAAGTCGAAAAATCCGAAAAAGTCGAAAAGTCAAAAAACGAACGAATCCAGTGTCCTTTCCAATGTAAGTCACTAAGTCACGCTGAGTCACGGGCGACAAAGAACCTTCCATGGACCCTTCTACTTTAGAAACATTGAAAATTTCAACAAACATTGCAAGGTTGGGAGTTCGGACCGCCAGTCTAAGGCATCAGAAAGAATTAGACGTTAAGGTGGTTCTGGCGCTTCCAGCCTGGGAGTTTCGAATGACACTCTTGAGAGCGGTTATCCTCCTTGGAAATGGCTGCGGTTTCCTGAAGAAGTGCCAGAAAAACAACATTGCACGATGAAGCGGATGGAGCGCATGGAGCAGATGGTGCGGATGAAGCAGATGGTGCGGATGGAGAGGATGGAGCGGATGGAGCGCATGGAGCAGATGGTGCGGATGAAGCGGATGGTGCGGATGGCGCGGATGGAGCGGATGGTGCGGATGGAGCGGATGGTGCGGATGGAGCGGATGGTGCGGATGGAGCGGATGGTGTGGATGGTGCGGATGGAGCGGATGGTGCGGATGGAGCGGATGGTGTGGATGGAGCGGATGGAGCGGATGGAGCGGATGGAGCGGATGGTGTGGATGGTGCGGATGGAGCGGATGGTGCGGATGGAGCGGATGGTGTGGATGGAGCGGATGGAGCGGATGGAGCGGATGGAGCGGATGGTGCGGATGGAGCGGATGGAGCGGTTGGAGCGGAAGACGCTGATCCCTCTCGCAATGCATAGAAACAAGGTGTTTCAGATTGTGCATAGAACTTCACTCGCAGGGCAGGGATCTTTTGTCCATCAACTCAGGTCAAGCTTGCTGCAGCCTGGAACATCCGGCTCAAGAGTCAAAACATAAGTGAAGGGGAAGCAGCTGTGGAAACAATCACCTATCACACAACTGCTAGTCTGTCGGCCGAGGTTTGGTTCTTGTCGCGTAGCTGCACCTTTGACTTCAACAAACATCATTGGGCATGATGATTGATTGTTGCCACTGTTTCAGATCGATTCCAATTGGTGGGCTGTAAGTGTAAGCATCCACTGGCACAACAAAAGTTGTAGATTGGATAATCTACATAGACTGAAATGTTGGCTCAAAATGCTTAAACTCTAAACACTATCCAGGCAACTGGTCAAGCTGTGAGTCAAGACCGCAATCATGAATCATGAAAACAGTCCGAATACACAACGTGAGCAGCAGGCAGCTCTACCTCGCCAATACTCCACAGCCCCCATCCGCAGCTGCAAAAGCAACTGCGTCAGGGCAGGTGCAGCCCCTGGCTGACCGGTCATCTGTGGCAACACGGCCTCAAATGGTGACTACGGACGGCAGAAGTGCCCTTAGTTACTGCACCTCCTCTTGCAGGGAGATGAGGACTCTTGTTGGACCCCTCAAATGCTCTTTACTCTTCGAGAATACTACTGTATTGCGCTTCCTCAAACTTACAGCAATGGGCTACTCGTAGGATGAAAGCTTGCACCTCTGGAATCAGAAACAAGATGGAACACACGAACCCGAATGCAAACACGTTCCAAAAACTAATATGTCCAAATGACACTCTTGTAGGACACTCTTGTGGGACACTCTTCTGGGACACTCTTGTAGGACACTCTTGTAGAACACTCTTGTAGGACACTCTTGTGGGACACTCTTGTAGGACACTCTTGTGGGACACTCTTGTGGGACACTCTTGTAGGACACTCTTGTAGGACACTCTTGTGGGACACTCTTGTGGGACACTCTTGTAGGACACTCTTGTGGGATACTCCTGTAGGACACTCTTAAGGGACACTCTTGTGAGACACTCTAGTGGGACACTGTTGTGGGACAGTCCTGTAGGACACTCTTGTGGGACACTCTTGTGGGACACTCTTGTAGGACACTCTTGCGGGATACTTCTGTAGGACACTCTTAAGGGACACTCTTGTGAGACACTCTAGTGGGACACTGTTGTGGGACAGTCTTGTAGGACACTCTTGTGGGACACTCTTGTAGGACACTCTTGTGGGACACTCTTGTGGGTCACTCTTGTGGGACACTCTTGTAGGACACTCTTGTGGGTCAATTTGTGTTCCCACAGCCGCAAGCATTCATCCCAAGTCCACAAAAGAAGAATTCCAGCCTCGTAGAACAGCTCATCAGGACAACTGGTATGGGCCTGACACAATAGGATCAGGGTTAAACCATTCCACTCGGCAAACCAGTGCGAAGTGTCCTTTCCCATAGCTACCTACCACAGTTCGCTGGGCGTGGAAGTTAGCCAAGCCAATGTTTTTCTAGTCTAGGCAACTACTTACGCCACTCACGGCAGTTTACAAGACTCTCAATGTCACAACGGGCCTGCAGGCGTAAGAGCTCTTGCCAACGCCGACCCGTCCCCAAAGCTTTGGACACAGCGCTGTGAGAAAGCAGGTCAGGGCGCAGGACCACCTGAGGCGTGGCAGCTGTCTCATGCCACAAATCGATAAGAATGACCTGTGTTGTCACGGTCCGCCCTGTTGTTCATGCATCATTTTGCTGTGTATATGTGATTCTAGACGTATCGGCATCAGCTGGCATCAGCTCTGATAGTCGATCACTTGGACTGTGAGCATGCGCAGCCCAGTTGCAACTTGCCTGGCTCATGGATGACATTATTTGCGTGGCCACTGACCAGGTACCCTCACAAGCCTCGGCAGGAAGGCGTGAGGGCAGCGCCGGCAGAGAATGGTTCTTGGGTCTGGACAAGTGCGACTGGAAGAGCCCAAATTTCAATAATTATGCTTAAACTTGAGTGCCTTGTCCATGTCCAGTTGTGACATTGAAAACACCTAGACTCCGAGCTGCTTTGAGCACGGAATTCATGGTGATCAGGCTGGTGGATGGCAACACCCGGAGAGAGACCTCCCATATCCTCAGGAAAGTAGGGCACAGTTTTGTGTTATTTTATCGTTTTTATTTGTGCTAGTGTTCTATTGCTTTTTCCAATCTTTATTTTGACTTGTCTTCCTGCCTTTCTTTCTTCCTGTTTCCCCTATTCAACATACCTGTACACATAGGTGACTGTAACATACTGTAACTATATACATGCTTTCGTAAACCAAAGGGGTGGGTGTGAAAAGGTGTTTGCTCAGGCTGCATGACACGTCACATGAACATACTTCATCACAAAATAGCAAAGACACGCTTCTCTGGCACAGGCATCGGCCGCTGCCCCAAGGATGACCTGCTGTCAGTTCAAACCGAGTGCAAGTGCTTTTCATGTGTCGTTATTATCTTCCAGCCCAGCATACTGCTCTTTCAAGCCACGGTTCTGAACCTCCACAAGGCATCAAAAGGCCATCACTTTCCTCTCTTTCCCAGACTCATTGACTGAGGCCCTTGAAAGTCCAATTTCCAAAAACGACTACTCTGCAGGGAGGTCGCAAACAAACGCATGGCCTTGTCGTGTTGGAGGCCGGATTGGCAGACTTCTGCCAAAATCTGACATGACATCTCCCACCTCGCAAGGGGTGGATGGTGGTCCGAGTCCCTGCCCCCGACTGCCGTGACACATCAACACAGGTTCAACGTCCATTTCCAGTTCGGATCTATCACAGTCAAAATTCGACAACATTGCAATTGCACAAGCATACGGTCAAACCGTGTCGAACATGGGATTCAGCATCTGTATGCACAACATTGCACAAGCATGTGTTGACCTGTTTGACCCGACAAGCAACTTTTCTTCCACCTCCCTGTCTTCCCATAGCACCGCAGCGCCGCACCAAGCGCAGCTGTGTCCAGACAGCGAGTACGGCGCATGAGGTTAAGAAATTCCTCAACCAAGTCCGCTTGAAGACCTCGATATAAGGCGCTCAAAGAAGTTACCCTACTTACTTGGATAGAACTTCAAGTTATACTGTAGCTCAAAGGGCTTCATGGCATGGACTTGAAAACATGCAAAGGGACGCAAACCTGGAAGACCCACACCACGTTCCCATTGGGTGCCATGGAGCCGGGTAGCGCATCCAACACGATGGCATGGCTCACTGCGTCCTGGGAGCCAGCAAATCTGTGGCATCATGATTCATGATGATGCGGACATGATCTTCTTCCTGTTGTGTGATGCCAAAAGTAATCAAGCACACAACACTACACAGTAGTAATTAAGCACAAAAGAGTTTGCCAGTCGAAAGGCTTCAATCGTACGTTAAACTCGCTCATTGACGCTCAGCATTGACTGTCAGTCTCAAGCACGCGGACATGGCGGACAAACACAGGAGAAGGAGAAGTGTGCAAGACGCAACATTTGGATCAGCGAAACGCTGGACTTTGTGCCACGGTGCGGGGACCACCGTCACCTCGTCCATCTGCCAAAAAATGCCAAGCGCCAGCTCCCAATGTCGTGCCACTGCGCAGCCATTGATGAGGGAATTGTAGCCTCATGTTTTTTTTTTAAAGGGGAGGGGGGGAAGGCCGTGTAGAGGTAGCTAGTAGCTAGAGGTAGGTAGCTAGTAGAAGCAAGGGAGTCACTAGTAGCTACAGCACGCTCCTACATATGGACTCAAGGAAGCCCCCCGCGCTAAAGGCGCCGGGGGGAGCTTCCGTGAAGAAGCGCTCACACTATTCATTTGGTTCCCAGATTTTTAGGAAAGCTTATCTAGCAGCAAGTGTAGCTCCACCAGGAACGCAGCTGGACGGAGTTAGAATGAGTTAGCTCAACGGCTCAACGCGTCGTGAAAACAACAAGCTTTCGCTGACGTCTCTACCAACAGAACTGAGCTTCAGACTGATGGTGTCGAGCTTAAAGCCTTGTTTATTCCTGAGGCAAGTCGTATGCGAAATGAACGGCGGGATCTTTGATGGTCGGAGGTGCCGGTGTTTTGAAGCTTAAGCGCAGGGTTTCAATTGACCATGGAAAGAAGAAGGCTTTGATTCAGTCTATGAAGGAGAGTCTTGGATAACTACCGTAGCACAAAGCAGGGGATTGCGAGTTCTCGAGCACTGATCAAGTCCGAGCGTCGCTGTGCTGAACACATGAAGACTGTAGCGCCATTTCCCAGCCGCACTGCAAGCACCCATGGCCGAGTTGAAGCTCACCAGTGTAGGGGACAGACTTTGCCACAGTAAGTGCAAGGCCTCACACATGATTCCAGCAACGGGTCTTGCCTGCCTTGACAGATACGTCTCACCGCAATAGTGCCACGCGGGGAAATGAACTGCGATCTCTGTGTGATGATTTTGATGGGCTATAAGTATAAACAAAGCACCGCACTTTGCTCATGTGATCTACGAGTAATTAAATATGTTGAAATGGCAAGCTACAATAGAAGTGCATCCCTTTCACAACGTGTCTGGACAGGGGATGTGTTCTCCACTGGTTCATCGCCAAGCATCTTCTTGCCACAGACTTTGGGTCTCCATTGCGGAGATTGCCTCGGCCATTGCATGGAACCAAGCGCCCCGAGCTTGTCTATCAGCTCAGGGAAGGACTCCTTTTCAAGCCTAGCCGGCCTAGGCACACTCTTTCCTGGTCACTCTACGACGGGCTATCAAGCGGCTTGTTCATTCTGTTGCGTGCAAAAATGTCAAAACAAATTCACAATACAGGCTGCTTAAGCCATGTGTAGCGGCTACTGTCTCATCCAGCTGTCTCTGTGTGTGTCATTCTCTATCAGAGCAGGCGCAGAATTTGCCGCAACAATGTTGCTCGGCTTCAAGACATGCAGCGCCTCGAGTCCAAAAGACATCGTGAGTGGAGCATCAAAAACATAGGTAGATCGAGCTTGTGTGGTCGTGGAGCACTCTCATATATGAGTGCGAATGGAAGTGAACTCACCATCACCGTCACCGAGCAATGGTAATGCTCGACAAATATCCACATAAACCCCAATGACATCTCTCTCATCTCTCCTCAGCTGCCTGTTGCCACCTTTGTCGCTGAGACGACACGGCCGTGCCGAAGGTGACCTCACTGAACACCATGCGCTTTCGCCTTGGTGTATCAACCCCATGCAGGTCACCGCAGAATGTGGTAATGGCAAGGGGACGCTGATCCTGATGATGATTAGTGTAACACGCGCAATGCTTACTCTATGCTGCAAAATGCTGCAATGGTTTTGCCTTTGTGTTGTTACGGAGTTTCAGTTTAGTTTGATTCTGAGATCGGGCGGACACCCCTCATGCTAAACAACCGCTGGAAGGTTCACAAAACTGCATGCGTTTTGTAGCGGAACTTCCCCTGCTTATATAACCTAATCCCAGGCACTTTTTGCCCAAAGTGTGCAAAACCTATGCAAAGTACAGGCCAACTCGGCTGCGAGCCAGAAAAGGGTTTCTGCATGTTCCTTGACACAGCATCACGTCAATGAAACCTGAGAAGTGTTTCTGCTTTCAAGTGCTTGTGACCTGCAGTTCTGTCTAGGGTCTAGTCAGCGCGGGTGATCGTACAAGTAGCATGTGGTGATGGATGAACACACCTTGAAACCGTTGGCCAAGTGTTGTGTTTGTGCGTGTGTCTTCTTCTGGCCTGGGCACGTCATTTGCACCAACCACTGCAGAGCGAGCCACCAGTGACCTGCGCGGCCTGCAGCATCCACAGCACAGTTCATGCTGGCGGTGTTGCCCGCATACCCTGGCAAGGCACGATAAAGAACTGGCTTACTGCATTTTGACGAAGTTTCCCTGGAGAAGAGCATCCAGGATATGAGGTCATTAAGGTGAAGCCAGTCAATACCATTTATGTCCTTGATTCCCACCGCCAACCTGTTGTGAAAAGCTACCCTGCGGAATCAAACAAGTTCTTTGGAAAAAATTGCCAACACCTGGAGGCACCTGCGAGGTGCTGCATCACTTGTCGCCAGTGACCTTGCTGTCCAAGGGCGCTGGCCACTGAATTGTATAGAGCTGTGTCTGTACCTTGCCGCAATGGAGCTCGGAAAGTTTGTAAGTCAATCTTTCATAAGCTTGGAACCTGTGAAAAATTCTGAAAAGTTTTTCGTAAGTTTGATAAAAGCTCGCCCTACTGGAGACAGCCCACGACGCTGCGAGCGGGCCACTGTGCGGAAACGAGCGGCGAAAGGAAAAGCTTGGGCACCCAAAGCATCAAGACTGAAAAATAGCATGAGGCAACTGTCATCATCGATGATTGAGGCCATTGCTAGTAGGTTGGAGGCCATCGCTAGTTTCTGGCCCTCAGGCTCTTGTCTAAAAGTAAACTCTTGATGGCAAAATCCAGCATGGTATTGGTAGTGGGCAGCCAACTCAATGCAAGTACGAAAGGCGAAGCTGTGAACAATGCAATGGATGGCTAAGTACAACCTGTAGTACCTGTATGGATACTATATCCAACAAAAGGAAACCAAGGGAATCCGATCCTTCCAAGAGCAATCCACAAGCTCTATGTTTCATCACGCAGCCGAAGGTCGACCATTGGTCAAGTCACTGGCAAAAGGATGTCCTATGGATTTTGGGCCGAGGATGCATCGGGAGGCCAACAAACATGGAATCCGTACCTGTCAACCTCGTTTTCCAAGATGCCCCAAAAACCTTGGCTGAAAGATGCATCCGCGGTCGCACCATCGGACATGCTCTGCTTCTTGCGCAGTTTCTTCGCGCTTGTGAAGTCAGGGTCGTAGCCAAGCGTCCAAGGTCCTTCAATCAAGGACTTCTGAAGCACGCCAGGTGGAAGCGGCTTCATCAAAGCATCGGCCAGCTGGGCATTTGAATGCACCCATCTGACCACAGTGGAATTGGATTCGAGCGACTCAAGCAAGCAAAGCACTTCCAGCGCCGTGAATTTGTCTTTCAAACCGGCGCCGGAGGAATTCAAATCCCTCTTGAGAAGCGCATCGTAAAGCGCCTTAGCGTCAACAACAACGCCACCGACGACCTGTTTCACCGCGTCGGATGGCTTCTTCAAATTCACAGGCACTCCACAAAACTCAGCCCATGCGAGCCGAGTGAACATCAGTTCCTGGTCGCACTCTGCGAGTGCCTGAGTTTCAGCACTCAGCGATGACCTTGCCTTCCTTTGGAGGCGGGCCGATCGCCAGGAGACGAAGGAAAGTGGGCTTCTCTTGCTTTCAAACATTTCAGGAGTGGTGGCTGCAATCAGGTATCCTCCTGTGGAACCTAGGTCCTTGCGGTTTGCCAAGGCAGCATCCGACCACCCTACAAAGCAAACATCTAGAGGATCCGAAAGGTGCAGCTGATTCACCTTCACTGAAACATGCCTGGTCTGAAAGGCCTCACGAACTAGCTTGTTTGCGGCCCTCAGGGTCGCCACAGTTGCAGTGTTGATCTCGCTCTGAAGTTGTCCAAGCCTGGCTGATAGCATCGGCGAGGACTGGTTGACACGCCACTGCAAGGCACCCAACACGCCACGAAGCTGTGTGAGCTCTTCGGAGGTCGCCAACTCGATGGTCTGCCCTGTTGCGGAATTCAATCTGCTCAACACCCTCAATGAACTTTGAATGGTCCAAAACAAAGCTGTAATCCGGTTGCTCAATGATCTGCAGTCCACAATGTGAAAAATTGCTATGCTCCCACGGGGGCCACTGAAACCGACTGTAAAACCGGGTCAGCTTGGATACCCATTCATCACTTTGCTCATTGCCGGACACCAGAAAATCATCGACGTGTGCGCAGACATAGCCTAATGTCGTCCGTCGCTGCTCATTGGAACCTGAGTCCGTGTCCTTAGATGAGTATTGCAGCCAAAGGCGCGGGTCCGTCTTGCTCTGCACAAAGTCGAGGTCCTTCAAGGTGTCCCTGATGCATTGGAACCATGAAGCCGGAGCATTGACCAAGCCGTAGCAGGAGTTCACCACCTGGACAGCCTGGCCATCAGGGATGCCCAAAGCTCTTGCAAGCTCTGGCACCGGCAGAGCAAACAGGTTGCGGTTCTCCTCCGTGCGCTCGCCCTGGAGGAAAGCGCTTTTCACATCTCCCTTGAGCACCCTCCAGCATTGCACGCTGGAGTATTGCAGCGCTAGCTGTCTTGTCCTTCTGGTCATCGTAGGGGCGGCACTCTGAATGCTGGCGAGATCAGGGTCTTCGTAGCCAATGAGGACGATGCGTCCCCTGGCTGCGCCGCTTTCTTTGTGGGTTAACACCCATCGCATGCGGACCAATCTGTCTCGAGGAATCGGTCCAATTGCCTTCTTCACTGCTGAAGCGGCTAGCCATTGGGAAACTTCTGCTTGATTTGCCACTGCAAATTCTCTTTTCTTGGCCTCGCTCAATTCGTGCCATTTGACTTCAACACCTTTGAGCTTTTTCACAAAGTATGCCTCCGCGTTCCTCTTCAAAGATCGCCACTCTGAAGATCTCGAAGGCAGCGGCAGCTCGATGGCGCAAGCCAAGTTCGGATTGCGGAATGAGCCGTCGTCAGCCAGGAATGAAGTGGCCAGCAGCTCGTCGTCTGAAGCACCGTGCTGTCGCCTCTGTTTCTTGAAGAGAGGCTGCTCAAACAGCTCAGGCAGCTTGCGGCCTTCTCCAGTCGCCATGGGTTGCGGCTCGTACGACGGGTCGCTGATCAAGCGTCCCAAATCTACGCCGGTCGAGCGAGGTTCACTTTGGATCCCGCTGGAAGATGATCCCCTAGGGTTTCTTGGTTTTGGGGTCGTATTCTCAGGGGGATTGAACGCTTCCTCAAGCGTCATGTGTTCCATTTCTTCTATTGTTCTTGACATCTTGGCTCTTTGATGTACCCCTCCATCGCCAGAAGTCTCTTTCACAAGTCTTTTCGGGGTCTTTTCACTTTCTTGGCGGACATCTTCTCGGGTCCTTTCTTGGGCATCTTCTCGGGCCCTTTCAACTCCTAGCCTGGGAACCGAAGAACTCCGCCTCATAGTCGCCGGTGTAGATGGGACCTCAGGGCCAACAGAACGAGACCTTCTGGGCGTCTTTGGCGCTCCACGGGAGACAATGTCTTCTGGCAGCAAATAGTCGTCCAGAATTTCATATTCTCCCTTCCATAGGCTCTGAGCGAGGTCCAGGTTGTGGTAGGAGAGCTCATGCCTTCAGCGATGGCCTGTTCTCGAGCGGAAGCATGTCGCAACTGTTCTGGAGAGCATCGTTTCAAACGGCCTTGCGAAACCAACCAGATGATGCTGCTCGGCTTTCTCTCCATCCCTTTTGCGTCCGTCCTGGTTTCTGAGGCCACTTGGATGACCGCCCCGGTTGCTAAGTGTTAGGAGATTTAGTAAATGAATTACAAAGGGCTTATAAACCTTCTAAGGCGAATATAAGTTGCCTATGTGCGCGTAACCAGTTAGTAGTTTCTAGAACTATTTAGAAAGAATTGATAAAGGGTCTAACATGTTAGAAGACTTAGGAGTCATATTTTCTTAAATGTTCTAATCGGTTTAGGCTACTTATATAAGTCAGTAGGGTTGACTTAGCTAAGTGTTATAAGTCAGTTGTATGAACTTAGCTAAGCAGGCTAAGTCGACTTAGCTAAGTGGGTTAGTGGACTTAGCTAAGTCATCTAAGTCGACTTAGCGAAGTGGGCTAAGTCATCCAGAAGAGAGAAGACATGGCTATTTTTGATGTCTTGATTACAGAACTTAGCAAAAGATTCTACGCCCGAAAAGGCGTGCGCTGTGCCCTTGTGCAGGGAAGCGCTGTACACAGAGGTACACAGTGCAAAGCCAAAGCGCTCAATGTTTCCTTTTTTTGAACTGATGTGATTTCTAGAACTTTTTGCTATATGTTTGCGTGGAGAGGTATTGTGAGTTTTTTGGTACGAAATGGGGTCACCATTTGCCAACCGCAGGCATGTCTGGACTGCCTTGTGGACGGGCACGCTGGCTCAGGCACGCACCCCCCTTCAGCTCATGACATGAGAGAGTTGACCGTATTTCGTCGAGTTGAGTTTGTTTGCAGCAGCTCTCCTCTGGTTCCCTGTTCCCATGCGTGAAATTGAACGTTTTGTATATATATATGTATATGCTCCATGTGTGGTTTCTTTACCGCAGTCCGGGGAAGTACACGTGTCCGTGCGTTTTTCGAATGCGTGCAGGGCTCTGGCTCGCACTTTGCGCAGGGTACTCACTCGCGCTTCTTGTGCAGGGCTCACCTCAGGAAAAGCATGCCCTCCTAGAGGAATTGAAGCGACAGTTGAAAGGTCAGAGGGAATTCCTTGCAGCCGAAAGTACTCGAGTTTCCAGGGGATCCTCGATCGTGCCCTGGTCTTGAGCAGACTTTTGAAGGCGATGAGCTTATGCCTTTGGAAACAGCTGCGCACAAGCCCGGAAAGTGGCTGAGGTCATCGTCGAGGGATTTGAACCCTTCTCAAAAGGTTGTCCCGGCTGCGCCTCAGGCATGCCACGATATGATGAACAATCCGTTCATGCAGATGATGTGCGCCATGGTCATGCAGGGCCAGGGCCAGCAGCACCATCAGGGTGGGGCCAATGCGATCAACCTCAAGGTCTACAACACCAACAAGCGAAAAGCAATCCCTGCGATTGAGGACGCTCCAGCCAAGGATGAGCCCTCTGAAGCAAAGGTGGCTGAGGACCCTCCAGCCAAGGCCGCCCCAGCGCCTCCACGCTCTGCTCTTTATACATTGCCCGCCGCTGCAGACGACTCCCAAGAGGCAGCGGAGGCCATGGTGGAAGAGCACCTGCAGACTATGAGCCAGGCCTATGGAGCGAGACCCAAGGGTGGTGCTAAGTCCAAGGCTGCTGTCAAGAAGAAACCCGTGACAAAGCAGGCACCGCAGAAAAAACCTGCCATGAAGCCTGCCATGAAGCGTGAGCAGTTTCCACCGCTATTGCTGAAGGATGGCACAGAAGTTTCAGCTGCTGTGAGGGCTCGCTTCCCCGAGGGGTGTTCGAAATGTCGGTGGGTTCGCGGCTGCGCGCGATCATGCTTCGATCTCAACCGACGTAGGCTGGGTTGATGTGTGCACAGCACCCTGGCTGCATTGATTTCTCTCCAGTAACATCTTCGGGCGTCTGAGTGTATGGTATATAATCTGGCAAAGAGCCAGTTGCCGCTGCGGTCATGGAAAGCTTTAAGGCCGGCTGTGGCCGCCGCGCAGGGCGCGCTTGCTCGCGAATGCTGACCGCAACGCAATTTTGTGCGTGGTAACTGCTGGGGTCTATCATTGGCACGCATGTTTTTTCACGTGAAGGTTCAGGATGACACTGACTCGTGTGATATGCTCGAAAGAAGCCTTTGAGGTTGAACTGCGCGCATGTTTGATGTTTGGGCGCCAATGATTGGGATTGCGTTGCCACGCCGCCTGACGATGTGGGCAGAGACTTGTGGCTTAGAAACAATCAGAGCAGAAAAGGTCCGAAATGCGCGCGCCCTTTTTGTTGCTATGTTGTTTGATCACCCTTCCATGCCAAGGCAGAGACGCGTGCACGGAGCATACATTTGATGCCACAGGTCAATGTGATTTTTTAACCATGTGAGTTTGTCCGGCTAGCATCTATATCTCGAAATTGGTGCATCATGTCGGTCTTGGCAAGAATTGGAAGGAGAAAATATGTTACCCAAGCTGCCCTGAGCGAGGTGTTGACAGAAGTTAAGAACGCAGGGATGCCTGAAGGTACCAGCAGGAGCTCGGTTAAAAGAGCTCGCGACAACGAATTGGCCAGCTGGGCCAACTCCATTGGCGAGGCTATCACATACTTGGAGTTTGATAGCATTGGAAGTGGAGGAAAAAAGCCCGGCGCGGTAAAGCTCCCCTTCGTCCACCCATTTTGGTTCTTACAGGTGTGCTTGGACAAGTGCCCAGCTTTCGTGAGATACTTCCAGCAGCACCTGGCAGAGCTGGGCAACGATGTAAACAACGCTTTTGAGCAACCTGGAAGCGCAAGCCAATGCAAGTGCTATTTGTCAGTTGCCCAAATTGTTTGAGGTAAACATATACATGTTGTATATATAGAGATATATGCCAAGCGTTTTTACTTGTTTGCGTGCATATATACAGCCAAGGCTCATTCTCTACGCCGACGAAGTGAGCCCTGGGAACCAATTAAATACGCCATGAAGCGACCCGGAAAGTGCAAATCCTTTACTGGGGGATCAAATGCGATGCTGGTATGAGTGTGGACCAATTGTGGTTTACCCTCGGTGTGGCCAGATCCTCCATAGTGTCTGCATTGAAAGGTGGAATGAGTGGGTTATGTGAAAAAAGCATTGCGACTCTTTTTCGAGCCCATCAACATGCACCATGGGGTCCAGCTGCGAGTGCGCAACCAAGTGTGCATCAAGTTTGCCAAATTTGGCATGTTTCTTGCAGACGAAGTCGCGCTGAAGGAAGTCTTTAACTTCCGGAGCGCGAGCGGCGTATTGCTTTGCCCGTTATGTTTGAACATTGTCAGCGAAGGTTCCAGCTTGCACCTGTATGGAGACCATTCATTGGTGCCAAGTACAAGTTGTGACAAAAGATCTTGGATTCGTGCTGGGGATCAGACCATTTTGGCCAAGATTCGCCGTTTGCACGCCTCAGGAAAGGAATTACCACCCCTGCCAATCTAGAGCGTTGCATTACGGCTTTTGTGAAGGCTCACTCGCGAGCCTGGGGGTCAACCCTTTGGGTTCCAAAACATCACTATCTGATGCATTTGCCAGAAATGTATGAATCACAGCAGGTGGTTGCGGGTTGTTTCGTGCACGAGCGAAAACACAGAGTAGCCAAGCGATTTTCAGAAAAACTTCGGCGTGTCTGTGATGCTTTTGAGACATCGTCAATTTGACTGACCTGGGAAACGAAGAGATTGACGCTCTACATGTGGGTTTGGTCAAGCCAGTGGCTGCGGAAGGTTCATTGAAAGACTGGTTGGAAGGCGTGATGGGGACGCGAGGGACCGTTCACCGCGCAAGACAAGCGCACTACTGCGTTGGAGGATCTGCCGCAGCAGGTGATTTTGTGCTTCTGGACTTGGAAGAGGGCGCTCAAGTTGGCGAAGTGATGTTCTTTGCAGCGAGCGATGAAACATCTTTTGCGTGCGCAAATCTGTGGCTTGCTGAAGGAGCTAATGTCTTTCAGAAAAGTGAGAGACACGTGTTCTGCGAACTTGGCTGCGTTCAAGAATGTTTGATTTTCAAGAAGAATTCCATCGACAAAATTTTCGTCGCCCCAAACACTATGTGGGCAGCGAGGTAGCAGTGCAAAAATTGCACGCTGAAATGTTGGCAGTGCCAATGGCACGCCGGCCGGGGAAACCCGCGCTGAACTGGGAGTATATCTCCGAGCTGTCGATCGCAAACTGCATATGATCTTGACCGCCTGAAAGGGAAAATGGATTGCGGCTTCCTCTATCTTAAGGTTGTCGGTTTCTGTATGAACCTTTCTTCCGCTTCCATTCATGCATGATGTTCCATCAGGGCGGGTCGAAACCCTGCCCTGTCAGCGAGTTCATTCACCCTGCTGTTTCCTTTGCTTTAAATGTCAGCCAGTGTCTCGCGCAGAAAAAATCTGAGCGGAGACAATTGAGGTGGAAATACCCGCCCCTTTGCCAATCGCATCACAAACCAAAATGCT